ACATGATGAAAAAATATGGTGACATGTAATCTAAATAATGGGAACTTTGCGCAGGACATGTTATCTGGCGGGGAAGATGGTGAATGCCCTTCGAAGCCGCCAGGAGGAACTCGAAATAACTAAGGCGGACGTTTTGTGTGTTCAGATCGCGGGCCTCTGCCATGACCTCGGCCACGGCGCCTTCAGCCACGTCTTCGAGACGTTCATGAAGGAATCCGGGAAGAAGGAATCCGGAAAGAGGTTCAAGGTTGGTTGCAAAGCTTGCAAGAAGTGGTTCCTAAAGAATAATAAACCCAAAAGAAAGTCCATTGCTTCCTTTTCCCTGTAAGTAAGCATTATGATGACGCTACGTCTTTTCCTTTTTTTCTTTTTACAGCATGAAGAGATGTCCTGTAAGATGTTCGACCACCTCCTCAGCGAGAACAACATCATGCAGGATTTTAGAAGAGCAGGGCTGGACGAGAAAGACGTTCGGTTTATCAAGGATCTCATCGTTGGAGCAAAGCCTTCAGTTGAAGAAAACGGGAGAACAGCAGCCAAGGCTTTCCTTTTCGAGGTGGGCCGATCTCTCTCTCTCTTTCTCTCTCTCGCTCTCGCTCTCTCTCTTTCTCTCTCCTCTCTCTCTTTCGCTCTCTCTCTCTCTCCTCTCTCTTTCGCTCTCTCTCTCTCTCTCCTCTCCTCTCTCTCTCTCGCTCTCTCTCTTTCTCTCGCTCTCTCTTTCGCTCGCTCGCCCGCTCTCTCTCTCTCTCCTCTCTCTTTCGCTCTCTCTATCTCTCTCTCTCGCTCTCTCTCTTTCTCTCGCTCTCGCTCTCTCTCTGGCCCGCTCTCTCTCTCTCTCGCTCTCTCTCTCTTTCGCTCTCTCTCTCTCTCTCTCCTCTCTCTTTCGCTCTCTCTCTCTCTCATCTCTCTCTCTCTCACTCTCTCTCCTCTCTCTCTTTCGCTCTCTCTCTCTCCCTCTCCTCTCTCTCTTTCGCTCTCTCTTTCTTTCGCTCTCGCTCGCTCGCCCGCTCTCTCTCTCTCTCTTTCGCTCTCTGTCTCTCTCTCTCCCCCCCCCTCTCTCTCTCTCTCTCGCTCTCTCTCTCTCTCTCACTCGCTCGCTCTCTCTCGCACTCTTTCTCTCTCTCTCTCTCTCTCGCTCTCTCTCTCTCTCGCTCACTCTCTCTCTCTCTCTCTCTCTCTCGCTCCTCTCTCTCGGTCTCTTTCTTCTCTCTCTCTCTCGCTCGCCCTCTCTCTCTCTCTCATTCTGTCTGTCTGTCTGTTGGTCTGTCTGTCGGCTTGCCTCTCTCTCTCTCTCTCCTTCTCTCTCTGTGTCTGTCTGTCTGTCTGTTGGTCTGTCTGTCGGCTTACCTCTCTCTCTCTCTCTCTCTCTCTGTCGGTCTGCCTGTCTGTCAACGTGAATCCTTTATATCATCGCAGTCACCATTGCTATATCCGTATCATCATCACAATTTGCATCAGCATGAACCGCAACATCAGGAAAGGATTGATGGGAGATATTCCACCGTTTTTGCCTCAACTAGAAGTGTCCTTTACTAGCCGCAATCTCGCCCTCAGATCGTGAACAACAAGAGGACGGGCGCCGACGTGGACAAGTGGGACTACTTCCTCAGGGACTGCCACGGCCTTTTTTTTTTATGTTTCCACTTCGCTGACAAGCGATGTTCTTGGTGATTTGTTCTTAATAGTTTACTTGTGCTGCTGAGAGAATCAAGAGAGAAATTGGAAGAAATATTATTTCAACCGCGACTTCTGAACTCTCGAGCAGAGGCAGAAGGGATCTGAGCCTAGTGGAGACAGAAAACAAGGTCGCAGGGAAAGGTCAGGGAGAAAGTAAGTCGGGTCACGGTCGTCCTCTGCCCTCAGGTGACCTTCGAGTACGAGAGGCTGGTTCACTTCTCCAGGGCGGCCGAGGTCGAGGGCGAGTGGCAGATCGTCTTCAAGGAGTCGGAGGCGGAGAACCTGTACGAGATGAACCACGCCAGGATGATGCTGCACAAGAAGGCCTACCAGCACCGCGTCGTCAAGATCATCGACCGAATGTGAGCTGGAACTAAGCTTTTCAGACGCTTGTCACATTCTATCGCACGACACAGCACACAAATGCGTCTGCAAAAAAAAATCCTGCTTGTTTGTCATTAGACAGAATTAAAAATAAACAGTAAATTGTTGTTACCAACAAGCAATTATAATAATGAAGTTTAAAGACGAGAAAACCATGATATCGATAAGATTTCACAGACAATGACAACACATACTGTTTGTATCTAATTACAACAAAATCATTTATCTACAGGCTAGTGGACGCCCTTCTAGAGGCTGACAAGTATGAGGACAGAAATGGACAAAGGTAATCGAGGTTTCTCACAAACATACGAAATGCACTTTTCTCATACATACACAGGTATTCATGGATACAGATAATTTCCCCACAACTGCTTATCTACCTACAAACATAAATACAGATACATACATAAATAAATGCGAATATATGTATGCATATGTGTGTGTATATTTATGATATGTATATATACATATATATATATATATATATATATATATATATATATATATATATATATATATATATATATATATATATATATATGTATATATACATATTATACACACACACACACATGTATATATATATATACACACACACACATATATATACAAATATATTACATGTATATACATATATACGTATATATTCTTCATCACCATCAGCCACTGCAGGACATAGGCCTCCCCCAATCATTTCCTCTCCACCCCTCTCCATTACCTCTCCATCCCTCTCTTAGTTTCTTCTCCAGTAATTCGGTTGTAGTCCACATATCTGATCCATAGGTCATAATTGGGTGGATGCATTGGTTAAAAAAATCATTTTTAATATAATGGCAAGAAGCCTCTTAGTATTCTACTTTGTCTACCGAAGACGCTCCAGCCTAGACTGATGCGTCGCTTAATTTCCTTTTCGCTAGATGTGTTTGTCTGGACGAGTTACCCAAAGTATATATACATGTCCACTACCTGTAGCGCTTCGCCTTGCACATACATCTGATCGAATTCCACTATACTGTTAAACATGATTTTAGTTTTTTTCTTGTTCATCCTAATTCCGACTTTCAGACTTTCTCTTTTCAGAATGTCTATTAGTTGTTGTATTTCATTTGCAGATTCACTGAAAGGAACAATGTCATCTGCAAAACTTAGACTGTTTAGGTATTCGTCTCCTATTTTGATACCCTTTCCGGTCCATTCTAGCTTCTTGAATATTTCCTCAAGGCAAGGTGTACAGTTTTTGGCGAGATGGTATTGCCCTCACACCTTTTTAATTGGTATTTTATCGGTTTCCATGTGGAGCTTGATGGTTACTGTCCCATCTTCGTATATATCTTTCAATATTCTACAATATACTTCCTCTACTCCCTGTCTTCGAATATCTTCTAGTACTGCTAGTATTCGTACAATCAAATACCTTTTCGTAGATGAATGCCATACACAGGGGTTCCCTATATTCGTTTATTTTTCTCTTATTTGGGTTAGCGTGTGTATGTGGTCTGTTGTTGAGAATCCACTGCGGAAGCTGTCAGTTCTCTAGACTGCTTGGAATCCAGACTGTCAGAGATGCGAATTGTGATGACTTTTGTGACAGTTTGTAAGTAACTGGAAGGAGGCCTATTTTTTTTTTTTTTTTTAGATCCTTTCTATCCCCTTTTTTGTGTATCAAAAGAATTGTTGCATTTTCCCAGGCTTTCGGGGTTTACCGTTGAGAAGCGTTCGCTTCTATCCGTGGCCGTTCATTTGAGTTGTATAGTTCCACTACTCTTATGATTTCATTCTTATACGTCACTTCTCCGTCTGTTTTTTTTATTGCATATATTTGATTTCTTTCTAAGCCAAGTCTCCTTTTTTCATGCTGGTACCTGAGATCATTGTTTCATTTATTATATTAAATTTCCGCACATCTCTCTACTTTTTATTTAGTTCAGCTCATTCTATCTTGTCCCTGTTTGACGATACTTTCATGACCCTACGTTTTTGCATAAGCTGTTTAGTTTCTACCGAAAGCTTGCTGGAGCTTTGCTTGACGTTCTTACCGCCTACTTTATAATGTCATTGAATTGTTTGTTGACTTGGTCAGTGTTGAGATCTTCGTAGCTGAGAAGTGAATATCTTTTTTTGATGTTGAGGTCAAATTCTGTCGCTCTGGTCTTCAAGTTAGTTGAATTTGGCTGCGGTTTTCGTATGAGTTTGTCCCTTTCCCGTCTGGGATGTAATTTGATTTGGTCTCTGACCATTCAGTGGTCGCTGCCAACATTTACTTTATTAATAACTTCCACATTTTTTACTATATCGGGCCTATTTGAAATTATGAAGACAATTTCGTTTTGATGTCAGATGACGACTTCCATGTCCACTTCCACTCTAGTCTCTTTTCGAAGAATGTATTCATGATATTGAGTATGTACACTTAGTGCAGACAGAGTTGTTCACCCGCCCTAATTACTGTGCACATATTCATTATCGTGCACGTGCATGCAAGCACATAGACCTTTTATAGACCTTAGGCCTCCCTCCGTAGCTTCAAGTTGAGCGAAGTGTGCAACGACTTGGCGGCCTACACTTACCTCACCGATGACGTCATGTACCAGATTCTGCGGATGCCTTCCGGGTCCCCTCATCTCGAGAAAGCCAAGTTGATCCTGCAAAACATTCTTACAAGGAACTTATACTCTTACGTCGGGGAATTTACCGAGGCGGATGTGATCGATGTGGTGAGGAGCATGGTACTTAGTCTCTCACACTAAATCAAATCATTTTATTCTATTTCTAAATCAAAGCTTTCTATCTTATTTCTAAATCAAAGCTTTTTATCTTATTTCTAAATCAAAGTTTTTTATTTTATTTCTAAATCAAAGCTTTTTATTTTATTTCAGAATCAATTTTTTCCTCTCATATTCCAACTCAAATCTTGTCGATGAAGGGTGACTTTACCT